TATACTATTTTATTGTATGAAAAATAATTTTTTTTTGTTATTTATTTGTTTAAGTCCAATTATAAAATTAACGTTAATCTTGTTAGACAACTATAGCTGCGGGATAAGAAAAAAGAAGTGTGGTCGGATTGGACGCACTTACTTGGAACCCCCAGGGGATTAGACGCAACAATGACCTGGAGAAGGACAGTTTAGCAGAAGACGGGCAAAGCGTTTAAAGAGTTGAGAGCAATAGCACAAAATAGAAACCAGTGGAAAATTGTTGTAGACTCCTTAAGCTCAACTTTAGACTTTATAATAAAAGAACTCATTTTGAATTTTGATCAATGTAAATATGTAGTAAGGTTAATTAAATATATAAAATGGGAACTGAGTGAAATAGCGTAATTAAATTTTAATTATTTTTCGATCTCTTTCAACAGTATACAGTTATCTAAACAAAAGACACATAAAAACCGATTTATAATTATTTATTCTTAAATTAAGTATAGAAATTGGATACTACTGAATTATTTTGCTACTGTAAAAGTACCAAAAGGTGAATAAATAAAAAAAGGAATATTTGCTTTAAAAATGATTTACATTTAATTGTATTAAATTATAATAAAATACCACGAAAACCTTAGGTTCGCATTATCCACATAACAAAAATAATTCTATTCTAATCTTTTTCAAATGATTATAACATCAACTAATAATTTTGATCAGAACTAGTCCTTTGACAGAATTGTTTAAAATCTTTTGGAAGCTTAATTCGAGTTGCAGTGACCGCTTGCTAACCAGCTAACCAGGAACCGATGGAACATCAAACAAAACTATACGGATTACAAGAAGAAGTACACTTCAATTGCTTTTTTCTTAATGCACTCAGCTAGTTGATCATTAGGTCTGAACCTAAAAAAGTTTGAAGATAGAATATGTTACTCTAACTTGAATTTCTAAGTTTCCTTAATGAATCTAAGAAGATCGGGTAGAGAATGAAAGAGAGAGAGACAGCATTTTTATGCTTTCACACTATAACAAAACAATCTCAAACCAGTTCTTCCAAATACTGGGCAATAAAAGATGAATTGCTCTGTATCATATAGTATTATATCAAAATTTATTATTCGCAAGTTGCAAATATTAAGTACCTTTCATACTTGACTTCCTAATAACCTTATAATATTGAAATTTTAATAATAAATAGTTTTGTTATCTCATATATATATCTCTAATATGTATTTTAACAAAAATCAAACTAAGTTAATATTTTAGCAACCACTCTGCTATATTTGGTATTACACTTAACAATTCCATTTCCCATAATTGATTATTGAAGCAGAAAATTGAAATATAAAAAACTTTTACGAATGCAATATTCCATAGACACTTGCATTGAGGTAAAGAATATATAATAAAACCCACATATTTTGAAATATAGTATATATTTAGAATATAAAAAAACGTGAGAATTAATTTTGTTGCGTTTGATTGAGCACAACATTTTCCCATAAGTTTTTTATAACGTTCATTTCATTTCCTGAATAGTACATTTATTAAGTGTACATAGACGTGCTTCTGCACCCTGTTTTGCATACCATTTAAATTGCTAAGACTTTTTGATTTTTAACGTTATTTTGCTGTTCAAAACCATCAAAAATATATGCTGTGGCATATGTTAACATATATAATTTGAAAATTGCATTTAAAATTAATTTTATACTTTATAACGTAAGAAAATCAACAGCGATCTGGATCTGTCAATGAACTTTTCCAGGATGACTGAACTTAGTTAACACAATTTTAGTAATAAGATGTATTAAATTCATAAAAATGTTTATATACAGACATATATATACAAACATATGTAAACATTCAATATATGTAGAATCTTATAGATAATATACAATAAGTTCTTATTTTTTGATATGTGTAAATAATTATATATCTTACCTGTTATCTTCGGTTGACGTTTACGCAAATTAGGTTTACTGCTGGGCAATGTAATTTTTGTAGTTTTATTGCTATGGCCAACTATAGTTGGAACCTTAAATGTTACTGTTGCTTCGTCCTGCGATTCATCACATGAATCCGTATCTGTTGCAGAGCTGATGAAATTTTCACGTTCAGCACGTTCATCTATTAACAAATCGATAGGAGTTGGTGGTGTTGTCACTGGACGTACATGTGCCGCACGTGTAAGTGTATACATTTCGGGTGAGTTTGTTGCCTCTTGGAAAGTCACACGTTCCCATACGAAGTGCGAATTACATTTTATTGGCATTCCATTCCGAAAATCAAAACCCCATTTTTTGGCAGCTTTTTCGTGATTCTTTTCAAGTTCATCTGATGCATATCTGAAAAGTGAATCATACGATTATAAACAATATAAATAATGATGAGATTGACATTTAGCTTTTTTTGAAATGAGATTATAGAACTATCAACAGTGCAATAGAGTATATGCAAACATAATGATTTTATTATTTACTGAATTTATTATTATTAATTATATTTAATTGTAATGATCCTAAAATTCTTTCAAGAGATTTAATTTTATAATTTATGTAATTACAAGTTAGGTGGACGACATCTACCGTATCCGAAAAAACTATGAGTTGTAGAAGCTTGATCACAACATTAATATACGTATTATTCAGAAAACTGATAGTGAGGATTGAAGTTGATGCTCCAGAGAAAATCGTGTTCAAAGGGACAGTGGAATGAACCCACATAGGGATCAACGAGTTTTCGGTGGAATGCTTAGATTGATGAGGCACTAACCATATTTGATGTTGGAGATTGGGTACATCTATCAGAGGCACTTTGCCTGAAGTGCTGTAACTGAAACCCGTAACGGGTGTTTTGAATTATTAGCATATGTAATAGAACTTATGTTTATAAATGCTTCGCCTAATATTATTTAACAATATTGTTACAATTTTTATATTTACTTTGTCCTTTCTATCTAAAAAGGATACAATTTGTTAAGTTCTTTCTCTTTTAGCACCTACTTATTAATAATCAGTCTTATTCAGAAGATATAAATATATTTATATTAAAGTCATTTATTTTCGATCAAATAGTTAATTTTCCAATATATTTCACGGATTTTCGGAAATATATTCTATCTTAATAATATTAGAATGGCTGAATAGTCTATCAAATACGGTAACTTCGTACGTAAATAGACCAATTTTTGTGTGGAGTTGACAGAACTAATGTTGAATCTTTATAGAATATAGTTAGTTATACAATATGAACTGCACGCTTAAGGTTCATCCACATTAAAGCGAACCCTTGCGAATGAACGAACTTTTTAAGGTACTATTACCTGTGAATGTTCGTTTGTTCGCTAGCTTTCGATTTGGAGTGGATGCACCTTTGCGTATCAGTTATATCGAGAGCAACACGAATGATCTATATAAGGAATTGAAAAATTTTTATAAAATAATAATAGTTAATTTATCAAAAATTAATAAAAATTTACTTACTTGTTTATTTCAGCAGGATTAACTGAACCGAAAAGGTCACGTTTAATGCGATTTAGTTGACGTCCACAAGATAAATTGTTGACTGTTGATGGACTGGGTCGGAGCTTACAGAACTCCGACAGTACAATTGGATTTAATACGCGAGCAGCGGACATTTCTTTATAAATGTTTTTTAATAAATAATATATTAACTCACAAATGCAAAATACTGAATTGCGTCATTAAATTGTTGATGTTGAATAACCTTGAGGCAATATTTTGGTTTGTTATTTGTTAAGTGTTCTTTAAAAAGTTTTTTTTACAATTTTCTTTTGCTTTGACACTATTAAATGTCAAAATTCGCGCCAAAAATATTTCCCCAATAGTGTCTTTGAATTTGAGGTACAGTTTCGTGCTCCACCTTCACTAAACCAAAGGGGATTCAAGGGAGCAGGAGAGTATAACCAAGAGAGTAGTTATAATTTCTGTACCAAAAAACGGAGTAAATAATATATATTTTATACTTATTTATTTTCACTTTAAACTTTTTAATTAAAGTTTTTATATAGTTTTTGTTAATAAATGTTTAAGCAACCACAATTGCTTGTATTTATACACTTGCACTGTCGTGTAGAGTTTTCTTTGATCTTCTCTTTCGTCACAATCGTAATGATTTTCATAAACTTTTTTTTCGTTAAAAAAATCGAATAGAATTTTAAAATTTGTTTTTAATAAACTTTTTATTATAAATGAATCAACTTTATAATATAAGAATTACATTATTTTATTAAAATAATTTAATATTACTTTATGTACGATATTTCACGCAAACACACTCAATTTACAACCTTTCTCGACAAACGCTCTCTTTGTACTGATTTTCAAATTTTTATTTTGTTCACAATACCAAAACTAAAAATTATTCATTGTATGAAAGCAAAAATTGTAGACAGCAAAATTTATAAAAATAAGAATTTTCGAATGTATACACAAAGCATAGCACGATAAAAATACTTTAAGTACATTATAATTTGGTGGTGGTTTTCTGTTTGCTTTTATTATTTTATTCCTTTGAAGTTATTTTTAACATAAGCGAATGTTAATAACAGTGATCCATACAGTGAAATGAAACAAACAGTTAACATTACAACAAAATGTAGAAAAAAGTTTTTTCTATGTTTTGAATCATACGTCATTTGTAATGTAGTAGAATATTGTAGTACATTAATGTTCTTGGAGTCTATAACAATTATATTAAAGACATTTGGTATTAATAATTTGTTAAATATTGATCTGGTTATAAACTACAAGAAGACATATTAGTCTTTGTGAAAAGTTTATTTGACATAATATTTTATCTTTTATTTTAATTGTAATAAAAGTTGAAAATTTAGTAGAAAAAGAAATATTAAAAACGAAATATTGCAAAAAGAAGTTATCCACAATGGAAACAAAATGTTATTTAATAACGTATATTCCTTTTATTTTATACAATTTATTGTATATGTTTACTTTCTATTTCTATGAAATTCTAATCAGAAAGAAAGAAATGGTATTTTTACTTAACAATAATAATGAAAATGTTTAAAGTAATTGTTTGTCCCCAAAAGTACATTTATATATCAACTTATTTTTTTTCATACATTTATATAATGTTATTGTTCATATGTTATAAATTTCTGATCTTACATTTACAATTACAGCTAAATGTAATTAACATTTCTGAATGTATTTTCCATTCGTTTTCAATTTTATGCTGTGTATATATTATAACAAGTGCGAAAGCGAGATGCCGATAGACTGATAAATGAATTACTTTTATAAAATTTTTTGTATTGAAACTTTAATTTTGATGGCTTTCTCCATTACTGCTACCCGAAGAATTTTCAACAAATTTTTTTTCCAACATGTAAAAATTAGAAATAAATATTCAGTTTTATCTACATGTATGTATATATATATATATGTATATACATATAATAGTTATTTAGATTGCTCCTTTTAAATACTCACTAATAAGATTTTTTTACATCTTACTTATCGCTTTTGTTTTGTTTCTGCTATACTTTGGAGATATTTGAAATTTACTTGTTTACTTTAAAAAGTAACATGTATTTTCTGAAGTTTTTCATTATTCTTAATGTTATTTAAAACTGGAT